TTATTAAAATGAAAAAAACTACAAAAATTCTTTTTTAAAAATGAAGAAAAATCTGAATTTTATTTGCTCACACCAATTCGCAGATAGATAATAAGCTATGAAGAATGAAAATAGAGTCGAAAATGTAAGCGAAAAATACTCTGATTAATGTGTTAGATCTCAATGAAATACTGGAATGGAAGGCTGGAATGTCTCTATTGTATGCAAAAATACATTTTCTAACATTTCAATAAAGTAGGATGGAATTATTGCATTAATGTTTGAACGCTGACGATTGGCTTTAATCTCATAAGATCCGTAACGTTTCACGCCTACAGATTTCTGCATGCGGTTTTGTCTGCATATTTAAAAAGAAAGAACATCATTTATTTAGGCCAGACTAAAGGAGTAATCATCATCACTGTTAAACAAAGGCATCTTCTTACACGGAGAAGGTTTGAGCAATGTAGCTCAAGGCGGATTGGTGATTGCAAACTTCTTATACTTATTCGAAATTACAAGTCCAGGTTTCCTCAAGACTTTTTTCTTCACCGTATATCAGTGGTGTCTTAATGACCTTAGAAAGTACTTTGATTCGGAAAAAGTCACATTGTTACTTGGTACTTGCCATGTTTCAAAGCGGCATTTATATGCATGAGAAGCGAATGTCTTAAACTCCGGGCCACCAAGTAGACTTTGACATCAAACAAGATAAAAATTAAAACTGTTTGCTCGTTCCAAAGTGTAGATTCCAATGGAGAAAAACGAGCAGGAAATTTCATGGTAACAGGTCTGTGTTATTCCAGAGTATAATTCTATCTCTGTGTCAAATTTCATTCAGATCGGTTCAGTACTTTTCACGTGACAGAGTTACAATTACAAAAATCCATCCGTACTACCAAACTTTCACGTTTATTATATTAGTAAGTAAAAGTGATGACCGGTGATTTAAATAATGATTTATCAACTATGTCCTTTACAAAAAAAAAACCGAATGTTTGAGACACTCTTTCATTACAGAGAAATATTTTTGTTCATAAACATAACATCATGTAAAAATTTTTTGATTTCATAAAACGACTTTGAGAATTGTCGGTACGTAAGTACTTTTTCTGCCGCCTGGCGGCGCTACGTATGCGTTAGGTCCTGTAGGTCCATGAAGCTTTATGGTCCATGGTATATGTTTTTTTTTGCTTTACGATTAGGTTCAAACAGCTGTCAGAAATAGATTCTTACAGCCGGTTTCCGAGAGGCCGATCAATGTTAAAATCAATTTAATCTCTTGTCAAGTCATCTGATTGGTTGACTGAATTATCAACAACCAATCAGATGGCTTGACAAGAGATTTAACAGGAGATTAGTTAATTTTAGCGTTGACAAGCCTTTCAGAAACCTGGTGTTAGCGAACGTATAATTTTTTAATGAAATATGTATTTGGAAATATTGTTGTTTTTATTACAGATTACAAATCAGTCTGTTGCTATTATTTATGGTTTAGAAAGAAAATGAGAAGATGGAACACTAGCGCCGCACCTTAGCAGATTATTTATTCTTTACTAGCTTTTGCCCGCGTTTCGCGTGGAATTATGACTTCCTGCAAAAAACTATCCTATGTCCTTTCTCAAGTTACAAACTATATTTGTACCAAATTTCACAGAAATCGATTCAGTAGTTTAGGCATGAAGAATGGTCAGACAGACAGAGTTACTTTCGCTTTTATAATATTAGTTTGGATGCAAACCTTCCTCTTCAATCATTCCATCTAAGTAATAAAAAAACGCATCAAAATCCGTTGCGTAGTTTTAAAGATTTAAGCATAAATAAGGATACAGGGACAGAGAAAGCGACTTTGGTTTATAGTATGTAGCGATTTACACAACGATCTGTATTTTCGATAAATCTTGGAATAATGTCAAAATACAACACAGAAAGGAAATGAATATTTACGAACTGTCAAATGTAATTAATAATGTATGAATCATAGTGTCACGTCTAGCGTTTAGATCCAAACTAATATTATAAATGCGAAAGTAACTCTGTCTGTCTGTCTTTTCTTCACGCCTAAACTGCTGAACCTATTTGTGTGAGGTCAGTTTACTGTGAGGCCGTGGTGTCATTCGGGTCGAGCCGCGCCATTCGTGCCGAACCATGGCTCCCCCATTTTAAATTATCATCATCATCATCAAAAATCATCAGCCTTTAAGTGCCCACTACTGAGCAAATGCCTCTTCTCACACGGAGAAGGTTTGAGGAGAAGGTTGCTTCATGCGGATTGGCGATTTCAAACTTATAATTACAAATTATAAGTCCAGATTTCCTCACGTTGTTTAACTTTACCGAATGTAAGTGGTGTCAAAATAATCATAGAAGTTTTAAATGATGTATAGAAGAATTGGAATATTTCTTGGCGACATTTTAGTTACTTGTTTATCACGCACCAGTCCTTTTACACCCACTGCTAGACATGGACATCTTGTCTATTAGCAATTTTTCTGATGAGAGGAAAATCATTTTGTACGCTATCGAGCCCAGTGTGATTCTGTAAGACTTCATTCTAAACTTCGAATCTGAATCCGCCGTAAGTAGTAGTACACTAGCGCTACACTTGCGAGTTGAACTAAATTGACAGCATCATTTTGAAAGATAAAGTATGAAATGACGTTAATAAAAGTGGCATTCAAAAATTTAATTTACCCGTCACTTCGACGCTCACTTCGCACTCGAACACGATTCAAATTCAAACAAATTTTATAGAATCGACGTGCAGGACGGGGCTAGAGAGAGTGTCCTTCTCCTGCTCCGTGGCTTCCGCGACACATTATTGCGTTTGCACCCAGCTGGACGTTGACCCTTGAAGTTGATTGCCTAAGTGATCGTGACGCACTACCTACTAAGGCCTGGATCTATTTTTTATGTGATAGGTTGGCAAACGAGCAAGCGCATTACCTTATGGTAAGCAATAAGCGCTGCTCATGGATATGCAACAGATTTTTGTGATTTGGATATTTAGATTCTGATTGGAAGGCGACTTTCCACAGTTCGCCGACAGCAGAACTTCACGCATAACGGTACCTCCCTGAACTGGACCTTTAGCTCTACGCAATACGCATTCAACCGCTTCTAATGACTGAGCTCATCCGAATCACTACCATATCAAGCCAGTATGACGATAGTCAAAATAAGAAACTAATAATCGAGGTTCGAGGAGGTTATAAAGCCTATAAGGTGCTGGGCTTGATCTCTCACTAGGTTTAATCTGCCTTGTAACGAAAAACTGCTCTTTTTTAATGGTGGATTATCTTCTTTTCGGCGGCAAAATAGTAGATGGTAAGCAATCGACGCCGCCCATGGGTAGTACACCAGCAACAAATGTGGTAGATCTTAAAGCAGCCGCAGGTTCCTTGCCTACCTAAGAGACGACGGCTATGCATATTCGGCGCTGATAGGTTACAATCAGGATCACCTGATTAACCATAATTAATTTAATTATGAATGATTAATTAATTTCTCTATGCGTCTAACTAACCGAAAATTGAAGTGTAATATTTTAACGAGACACGTAACGCCATCTAGTATTAAATATAAAGACTATTTGAATTCATTTAAGTTTCTTACCGTTAGATGGAAGTACTAGTGGAAGAATAATATACGACACATAAAATTAATACTAGAAAATTGCTAAATATGTGTTTGTGTAGATAGACCCTATCTAGTATGGTCACTTTTCCTAGCCGTCGAACATAATTACGTCATACCATTATCCTATCTCGTCATTTATACTGCGTACATCGAGGGATTGGAACAGTTTGCCGGCTGCAGTCTTTCCGTCCGAATACAATTTAGGTGTCTTCAAGGCTAGAGTGAATAGGCTCTTAATAAATTAGTGCGCCTTACCATCAACGATTGCATCACTGCTTAACATCAGGTGGAATCGCAGTCAAGCACTAGTTTAATGCAAGTAAAAAAAAAACCCCGAATGCTCTAGGGAGAAGTCCCCGTTCCTTATCTCCAGCTTGTCGGAGTGAACGATGACGAGGAACAGCTCTCCCACCACTGCTTTGCCTTCATTGGCCGTCCAGAGTGGAGTCGCGAGAGTAGTGATCCTGCTCGGAGGGTAGAAGCTGTTCTTAAGCGGCGAGTGGGCCGGGGATATAGGATACTTAGGCAGATGCAGATTGTCAGAGTACAAAGCTGGTGGCAGTTTCTTCACGCTTCAGCCAACCACATTTCCGTTGTCCCTCTGTTGCTATTACTAGCAACCATTCCCGGGGGCCCGGTCGGTGAGTTCGTGAGTCATAGCTGCCATTTTAAAAAATTACATTATTTCGGCAGGTGCCATAGTCTTTCCATAGTTCCCATCGTACCAGTCCATAACAACTCACACCCTTATGCCTTGTTTCCATTCTCCCCAATAGTCCTACACTAACCGGGGACTGTCCTTGGGTGTATTTCCATAGTGCATACAGATATAGTCGCCGGTTTGTGTCCCATTTCATTTAGAATTAAGTTGTCTAAAGGCCCTCTGCGCTTTTGGCTCCGACCTCGTACGCCTCCCAAACGACCGGGACCCTGTGATCCAGTGATTGGTAAAGATACAAGAAATAAAATGTTGATTTTAAAATTACTAAATGCGGGTGTGAGTCGTATCAATTATTCTCAGTTTTCAGAGCCGTCATAAACCTCATATAATACCTCTCGTACCAAAACTAAAATGTTTTTTACTTTGGTGATTGAACTCCATGCCCTTCAAATACGCCGGCAAACTTGCCTCCGATTCTTTACCATCAGGTGACTTGCATTATGTCATCCACTTTTCATCAGCTTTATCCTTGTAATGGTGTTTGAATTGTCCCACCAAGCCATGTATCAAGTATGGGAGAGTAATGCTTCGACACGAATGCGTGGGGTCGACCGGAACACGGCCTCATAAAAAAGTAGCAGCCGCGTTTGCGACTTGTCGACCATAATAAAAACTGCTCAGAGCAACATTAGGGAAATAAAACAACAAAAATTACAATAATCACCTATATTTCGTTTAAATACATAATTTATAGATGGAATAACGTTGCCAGTTCAAAAAAACATACAATTTTCTAAACTAGCAACACTTTTCAAGATGGCGACGATCACTATTAACTTATAATCTAGCACTTAGTCCCTTCGCGTTCATTTCTTGGGGGCAACCATTTCTTCCAGGGCTTTGATTTCAGCTGAAAAACAGAAAAAAAATGTATTAAAATAACATGTCAAGTAACCTAACTAAGCGCGCGCCTCAAAGAGCCAATAGAGCACCATAGATGGGGCTCTATAGGGCTGATGTTCATCCGGGGTTGCGGGGCAAGCAATCCGGGAAGGAACGAAGGGTTTTAAATAAGTAAGAGTCTGACACTCTCTCTCGCCTTACCCTGGGCGGGAGAGGTAATTTTTTGAAGAAAAAAAAAGTAACTTCTACTACGGGCTTATAGAAAACCGGCGTGAAACAACCACAGCGTGTTTCGCCGTGTGAGTGAGGTTACCCAGGGCAAGTCTTTCGTGCCTCCCAATGCCTCTCCAGTCCCAATCAAAACCCTAATCCCAAAAGGTCGGTAACGCATTCACCACTCCTCTGATGCTACCTCGGGTGTCCATGAACATCTATTGCTTAACATCAGGCAAACGTTTGCTCGCTTAGCCCTATCACATAAAAATCACCTATTTGGGAGCAAGTAGAATACATACATGCTAGCTAATCTCGCGCGGTTTCACCCGCTGCTCGGCTCCATTTAATCGTAGCGTGATGTTTTATAGCCTATAGCACTCAGGAACATTGTAGCTATCTATCAGTGAAAGAATTTTGGCAATCCGACCACCGGTTACAAAGAATACCCCTACATACAAACTTACAAACTTTAAAATTTTACCTCTTTATAATATTAGTATAGAAGTATAGATTATTATATTCTCCCCAAGAGTGTGGTAAAAACTGACCTAAATTGAAATAAATTTGTTAATAGGTTGCGAAACTCTCAAAGCGCTGTTTGGCTTGTCATGGTTCTCAATGACTATGAGCTCTTAGCGTGCCTTGAAAATAGACGGGGCACATTGTTAACCAATTACGGGTGAGTTAGCCGATCGAACTATTCATATTATAGTTTTGTTATATGGTGTTAAAGATCATGAAATTTCTATTTTATTACAGGATCGAAAACTAGCGATATTATTAAAGGTTAAGGGAAGGTATGATTGAGAGGTTTTTCTAGGCAATGGAGTCAAAAAGAAGAAAATATTTTTATAGCCCCACACTAAGACTTTTCTCCTGTATCGTGAGTACGTTTACAAACATACAATGTCACATACACACCAACCCAGACCCACGGAACAACAATTTGTGGACCACACAAAGAATTGTTCCGTGTAGGAATAGAAACCGCGACACGATGCGCGGCAGTCTAGATAAAAATTGCGTAAATTAAGTCAATGAATTAAAGTGGTTTATATTTATATCTATTTTTTATGGAAACAAGCAGACGGATCACCTGATGGTAAGTGATCAGCACCGCCCATGGACACCTGCAACTCCAGAGGAGTCACAGGCTTTGCCGGCCTTTTAAGAAAGAGTATGCTTGTTTCTTGGTAGTATATTTTTGTTTCGAAGACTTTTTTCTTAGTTGAAAATACAACTGTGATGTAATATGATCATAACATCAAATATCATACTTATTTATTTTTAATTAACGAATAAAAATACAAATATTATGTATGTATATCGCAAAATTAATGATATAAGCCATGATTGTTTTACAGTATTTTTATGGTTTAGAAACCTTCTGGATCCCATATCTTGTAGTGGCTAAAGCAACTAACTTCTATTTATTCAATACTAGCCACATGCTCTCCAATTTTAGTACCATAGTTCATAGTCTACTCGCTTTTGCCCGCTACTCCGTTCGCATGGAATAGTGACTTTCTGCAGATTTTTGCTATAAAAACTATCCTATGTCCTTTCTCAAGTTCCAAACTATGTCTGTACCAAATTTCACAGAAATCGGTTCAGTAGTTTAAGCATGAAGAAAAGACCGACATACATAGTTACTTTCACACTGTCGTTTCGGAGCCTAATCAACACAAACGAATAAATAATCAAAGCTTTCCTCTTTGTAATAAAATTATAGAAATATAGACCAAAATGATTAATCATGGACATACCAGCCGCGGCGATCGCCTTCTCCTTCTTCAGCTTTTCGTCTCTGATAACCTTCTCCTTGGCTTCGATTTCACGGAACTTAGCCTCCTTCTTGGACAGCCTGTTCTGGTGGAATGCTCCGTACAGGATACCAGCACCGAGGAACGACCAACGGCCGAACTGGAATTATTTATTAGAATATTCGTACAGTTTAATTGCATATTGGGCCCACCTTAGCTTCATATGGGAGCTATTATACATATTAAACCATCCTCTTCAATCAGTCTATGTTGTTAAAAAAACATCTCTACTCAAACAAGGCAGGTAAGAAGTGGGACCTTTACGTAGAAATAAATATTGATTCCAATTATAAATTATATAAATTTCTTTTTAATCAAAAAACGACATTGCCTACATTTAAAAAAAAAGCAGGTTTAGTCAGTGAGTATCATTAGCAACTTATTAACTAAACTATGATTGAAACACATGGCTATCAATTACTAAAATCTTTGAAATAAATAATCTAATACTCTCAGGTTACAAATCTAATGAATAGTAGTAGTTCTATTATCCATAAATTTAAATGTTTAAAATACTGTAGACTGCAGCTGAGCTGAAAGATCAGAGCTAATGTTACGAGTTACGATTCTGTCGAAACAAATTATTTGCCATAAGCCATCCTTATATTACAAAACAGAAGGTAGTTAGATAAATATTTTTGCAAAACTACCTCAAAATCTTAGGTAAAAAAATTAACCAGTGGTCAGAAATCCAATGACAAGGTTACATGAAAATAAAACCTTTTTGTTACTAAACGTTCTCTAGTTGAAATATTAAAAAAAAATAAAGTGATTAGCCTTTTTGAAGAAAATTAAGTTTTCAAATAATAAAATCATATTTGAAAATGGAATTTCTGTTCGAAAACACTGTGTTACATAATGGTAAGTTTTGTATGGAAAAATATTTTATGTAATATTTATTGTAATTACCCTGATGAGTGGCGATACTCGCACTGGAGGTCCGTAGGGAAGCTCAGACATTTTGGTTTAATTCTATCTGGGACTCGAAAATCCAAACAGGATTTATTGAAAAATCCCAAGATTCGATTTGCCGTAGAGGTTATAAACTAGGTGGGGTTGTCAAAGTCGAAAAACAGAAAAAATAAACTGTCAAAAATGCTAAAGTCTTTGAATTGCTTAGAAAATATTAAAATAATACATTTATTGGGGTATATAAATTTTAATATAGAAATAATTTCGAATTTTTGATAAAAACTGTTCTTGTTACATTAAAATAAATGTTACAAAAACTCGTTTGTGGAAAAACCAAACGTACGTTTTCAAAATGTTGAGCTACAGTTTCTCTTTCAATTAAGCTTCTCTATCATTATTTTGTACTTATTGTAAAATTTTGTTCATAAAATCCAATGGAGGTAGATTTTATATCGCACTATTTTGTCAGGTTTGCCCTACGAAATTGTAAAAACTAAACGCGCATTGATAACATTTTGACAGTCCTAGAATGAATGAACTATGAACCCGGTGACTTTTCATTCGTTATCAAATCACTCAAATACACTCAATTAAATCAATCAATCAGTCTTCAAAATGGCGTTAATCATGTCGTTCGTGTCCGTTGCTATATCTATATTGTATACGCCGTTATTACTTTTAATATTGTGCATAATATTTCTCGCTTCAATAGGAAAATCTTTGGGTGTGCGCAGATTGTACGTGAACATACTGCTGAAACTTTTCGAGGTACGTAAATATATTTTTTATTAAAAATTTAAATTAAAACACAATTTTTCCTTCGTGAATAAACACGTGAGGTCAATAAAAAATATTTTATTTATTTATTGTCTCTACTTACCTCTATTGATCTGAATATTTCATAGGTTATTGTCCTTATGTGTTATATTTTAACATATGACTCATCTTCAGACGTGGATTGCAGTGTAATCGTCAATAATAAGAGATATCGGGATTATTTCCTATAATGACGTTTTAAAATTGCTGGGCCGGATTTACGACCGATACTTATCTTATGTACCGGCTATGTAATACTTAGTTGTCAAGTATTTTGCTTGCCATGTGTACGAGTTTCGACCACATAACATAGAATTCCCATTCCTCCTTATAAATAATAAAAACTGACGAAATCTTGACGAGTTATTAAAAAAAAATCGAACATAATCCAACTTAAAAACTTACTAATCTTGCCTAAATGAAAGGAAGGAAAGGTTAGAATCGTTGAAACTTAATCAGAAATTTAGTTGTAAAATGATAAACTCATACAGACCTATCAAATCCATTAAAAGTACTGTTATGTGACCTTTTTGCTACATTTTTAGTCTGTGGTATCTTGCCTCCAATTTGGTCTTGTTTATTGACACTTTCTATTTCATTTCTTATTGAGAATATTAAAAATATGCCTAGAAGTATGATTTTTCTCTAATCACTGTTTTCCTTCCATCCCATAAACTTACAAATAAACCATCTTGGCATGCCTTTTTATATAAAAGTTGTCTTAAAATTATATGTAAAAATGTTGGCTATAAGGTACATATTTACCTAAATCGATGTTAGCTAATAAACTGAATTGAAATAATCTTTGCATGTATTTTATACAACCTCTTTAATTTAAAAAGATATACCAACATTGTTTACCTTTAGTTAACCACCTAAAGCCATAGGTAGACTATAAAAGAGGACCAACCAATCACTCTGGCTTCTTGCCTGCCAAAGGCTTTAATCATATGAGTTACCAGTCCTCCCCTGCTTACTTTCCAACTGTTAAATTAATGTACTAATGTTTATGAAAGTTTGTGAGTGTAAATAAATGGAGTTTGTTGCAGAGATAGATTATAGTCTAGCTTAACACATAACACTATTTTTGTCTCTGCTTCTATAGGCAAAGCTGGTTAATATGTAACAAGGAAGGAGGTTAGTTTAGGAAGGATTATAATAGTATAATATTATATAATAAACAACACTCAATATCTCAATTATATTGAGTTGATTTTTTTATACTCAAAAATTATTTATTTCAACTTTTCTATAAAGTGAGATGTGTACTAAAAAATAATCATAATTTCAGTCAGTAATTTGACTTTATATTTTTTTGTAGCTAAGTTTTAAGGAATAAGTAGGACACTAGGATTTTTCACAGGTCATGTCACAGGTGCATTTTCAAACATACAAATTCACTTTCACACCCAGACCCGAAAAAACAATTTGTGGAACACACATTGTGTGTGACATCAATTAATCATAGTGCTTTAGTTATATAAAAATCATAGAAATATCATTTTTGACTAATAAATAAAAGTATTGAATTTGACTACTACCTATAGTTGGAAACTACCATATTATAAATTTTCTAACTATTGATTAGCAAGAACTCAATTGCCCTAGAACCAGATAACTAGAACTAGTTCAAAGTCTAAAGGTATTTGATAATTAGGTTAATTTAGTTACTCTTTCTTATCTTTGAGTGCTAAACACTTGATAAATATATAATGAACTATACATAAACTTTATGTACTTATTGTACCTACTTTTTTATGTTATTAAATACATGCTATTTTCTTTAACTTCTTACTCTGCTGAAAAAGTAGCTTACATGTTATTCCAGACTGTAATCTATTCTCTTTGCCTGAGTATAAGGGTTTCAAACCTGGCAAGTACCAATGTGACATTTTCTAAGTTTCCATACTTACTTTCTAAGTTTATGTATACACCAGTGACATAATGGTAAAAGAAAACATTGTGACGAAACCTCATTAAATCGCTTCTCCCGAGTGTCAGACTCTTGTTGACTAGAATACCCCCATACCTTCTCCAGCTCTAGGTCAAGGCCGCATAGCCTTATTGCTCCCAACCCCGGCTGAAAAGGTTTTATAATGTCTGTGTTTTCCTTGTCAAATATGTAATTTCTAATGTTACTTTCGAAGTTGTTTGTATAAGGATAGGAAGGCAAATATTTTTTTTTGTATATTAGACGCAATTTTATTTGCAAGACTGCACGGTTGGCGCAGTGGCTGGCCAACTGGCTGCTGTGCACCATATCGTATTTTGATTACTGCACTGTTTCGACTCTGGGTGGCTTGTGTATGTGAATTTTTATCTTTGAAAACTCACCCTCTACACAGGAGAAAATCGGTGAAGTGTGGGGCTATGTTATATTAAAAGAAAATAATATTTCATATATTTCAATGAAAATAATATTTCATTTAGACTTTTCCTAGACTTTCAAAAATATTTTCAGACTAATCTTGTCTTAATTGCTCCAGCAGTTTCAGAGTTTTAGCGAGACTTACAGTTATACATTTTTATATAGTTACTAAACATTTTGGCTTTGTTTCAATTAAATGTCTTTGTTTGTTTACACGGGCTAACATATAAACAAACTAATCTAAATATAGTTTTAATATATATAAACATTTGCTATGTCATTTTCTTACAAAAAAATAACAAAGGAGATGGCTTATCAACTAAATAAATTGAGTTTGCGTATGCTTCTTTGTTAACATGGCAATAAAGGTTTATAATGTACTAGCTACTCTGAAGAGATTCCACCCGCTGCTCGGCTCCATTTGATCGTAGCTTAATGTTTTACAGACTATAGCACCCAGGAACGTTGTAGCTATCTATCAGTGAAAGAATTTTGGAAATCCGACCAACGGTTCCAAATATTACCCTCTACATACAAACTAAAATTTTACCTTTTTATTTGTATGGTTGATGCAGTGGCTAGGTTTAGGGTTGTCAGATCCAGGCTGGTTATACCCTGGACATTTCTGAGCCTGGATAAAGTCTAAAGTCTATAGTTCGAGACTAAAGAGGAACAATCTTAATATTTTTAAGAAACTTACTTCAAATAATAATTCTCACAGAAAACCGGCGTGAAACAACCACAGCGTTGCGTTTCGCCGTGTGAGTGAGTGAGTTTTCTGGATGCCCCATCCTTCCCGTCCCCAATCCGTAAATTCCAAAACCCTGATCGCCAACGTCGTAACTCCTTCCTTGTTGCGTACTGGTGTCAATGGGCGGTGCTGATTGCTTACTATCAGGCAATCCGTCAGCACCTTTGTCGACCTATTACTTAAAAAAAAAATTACCTCCGCCCCTTTTCCAATAAAAAATACCCAACACCTGGGGTTTTTATCCAAATGCGATTGGATTAAAAGTATATTTCTTTTTTTTTATAGCTCTCACTCTGATAATGCCATTTTAATATCAAGAAGTTGATCCTCGCAATATATCCGTTGTATATCTTTTTATTATCTTCGTAAACCGATTAGTAGTGTGGTTGATAAAAACTTTGTTTCATTTAATTCCGACTCCAAAGTACTTGGGTGTTATTTTTATGTATTACATATATTTGTTGTAGGTAAAAGAAATGGCTGGATTATATGCGTTTTCTATGTATTTCTATTCTTTATGTGATAGGTCACCAAAGTGGCAGATGGATTACCTGATGGTAAGCAATCGGCGCCGCCCATGTACGGGTGTGTGGGCAACAACGGATGGGTTACGGGTGCGTTGCCGACCTTTTTGGGGATTAGGGAATTGGAGATTAAGGGATTGGGGAGAGGAAGGATAGGGCCACCTCACACGGCGAAACACAACGCTGTGGTGGTTTCACGCTGGTTTTCTGTGAGGCCGTGCTATCACTCCTCTCGAGCCAATCCATTCGTGCCTACTAACCTAAGAAAAGTTTCCCGTAATGTTTAGTCTGGATAGAGACCCTCCTCGATTTCGCATGGGTGCAATGCTGATACCAAATTTCTTTACTATTTAATGGATACATAATTATAAACCTTCCTCTTCAATCACTCTATCTATAGAAAACGCATTACAATCCATTGCGTGCTGATCAAAATTTTCTGACAATTTTCGGAACATCATCAGCCTATAAGTGCCCACTGCTGAGCTAAGGCCTCTTCTCACATGGAGAATGTTTGAGCAATTGCAAAATCACGCTTGCTCAAGGCGGATTGCTCCAGTAACCTCACTCACTCGGCGAAATACAATGTAAATGTTCTTTGACGCCGATACTATGCGAGGCCGTGGTGTCATTCAGCCGAAGAAAGAGGGATGGAGCTATACACCTTTTAAACCGCCATCCCTCTTTCTCGTCCGGAAGGTTGACACTTTAAGACGTCATGGTAGGCCCCCTGTTCATGCCGAACCATGGCTCTCACACACTTAAAAATGCCTTACAATGTCGTCTGTCTATGATGGCCACGGTCAACATGGTTGAGCGACTGGTTTTTGGCAACGTAATCAGTCCTAGTGTTTGTTCTGACGTAGACACTACAGTTGTGCAACAGAATCCTCACAAAATGTAGCTCCCTCTAAATTAATGTTCTGTTCAAATTATTTTAAATACCTTTAGGTTCATAACGACAACTTCCCAAAACGTTCACACTCCGAAAACCTCTACTTCCCAAAATTGTAATTCCCAAAATGTCTATTTCGCGTTTCGGTGAACTAAAAAGGATAGAAGTTGTGACGTCACCGCACAGCGCGCGCTGCTCATCAATATGAGTCCCGGTGTCACTTGAAATTAATCGAGCTTACCTCGATGACTTATTCGTATATTTTAATAATACAGCGTTTCAAGATAGTTATTATTCTGTTTTGTAATTACAGATATTTGAGCGGAGTCTCCTAATTTGTGTATGTGAGTTGTTTATGGGTTGGTTGTCATGGCAACCGAGAAATGTTTTTTTTAAACCACAGAGTAGTCACTG